AAATATGTTATGTATTTTAGTAGGCTATCTAGCTATAAATCGATTAAATAAGCCTCTGAAACCCCTAAGCTCTCATATTTTCCGGGGGCTTCGCCCGCTGGACCACTTTCGGGACATTTTAAACGACGCCCGACCACACCCATCTCGGGCCACCACAGCATATTTCCCCTTAAAATTTTAACTTCTCCCTCCCACCCCCGCAGTTTTCAGACGCTGGCGCTGCCACTGCACACTTGAGCAATAAACTTAACATGAAACCAGAAGTTTCTCCCCTGAATCCTTAAGTAAATATCGGTATAGACCTACTGCGTGTGTTCGTAAAACCAATATCGTAAATTTTGACCCATAACCACGGGATTTCTTTTTTCTTTGTTTTTTGTGTAGCTTCATAGGATTCTACTCCATAGCAAGTTGTTACTCATGCTACATTCGTCCAATAGAAAGCTCAATTAAAAAAATAGTTGATCATTAAGATTGCATTGCATTATGTAATAAATTGGGAATATTTACTACTACAGTAATGTTTTAATTACACTTATTCTGCTGATTTGATATCATAAATGGATTGTATTGCATTGCAAATTATTGCTTTAAATACCGTAAGTTTTAATTCTACTGTAACTCCTACGGTCAATAAAAATAAATTTGAAGAATGTATGTCATCATTGTAAGAAAACATGCCAAAATCCCTATTAAGGGGACACTTTCACATTTTTGGTTAGTGTTCCATGAATAAAGGTTAAAGGTTAAATGTTATTCATTTATACTGAGCAAAATACGAGGGGTAACCCTAATCAGGGCACAACCCTACTTAAGGAACATTCCTATTAAGGGGACACTTGTTTTGGTCCCGAAGGTGTCCCCTTAGTATACTATAGGGGTTCTACTGAAATGGGCTAGTACCATTTTTTTAATGTACCTGTAATGAAAAGTAAGTTATACATTAGAAAATATAATATTGCAAAAGATAATAAACAATTAGCATACAATGTAATAATAATTATACAAATTCAGCAATAATATAATTAAATAAGTAAATTACTTACAAATTCAGCAATAATAATATTAAATAACTTACATAATATGAAGGGAAGAAGGTAAATGCCCATCTATGTCCTCATTGTATGGGTGTGCCAAGACCCCGAACAGGGGGACAATTTCACGTTTTTGTTAGTAGGGGACACTCAGGGGACATCCCTATTAAGGGGTACAATATTTTGGTCCCGAAGGTGTTTCCCAGGGGTTACTGTATTTCAATAATAACCCTGTCTGTCTGTATTATTAACATTATGTTTTTTTCTCTCTCTATAATAATGACTCTCTTCATTATCCAGTGTTTGGTAATGGTTTCTAATTCATTTTATATATTGGCAAACCTTTTTATTACCGGTACCTATTCTTCCTTAATGGTTTCCGCTGACGTACTGTTATAGTTTAACAATACATCTCCTGTTACAATTAAACGAGCGTTAATCCGGTAGGCCTACTGTGAAGCAGAGTGAATTGTCTTGGACTTCGACTTCCCCATAAATTCCAATGATCCGTCATAAATTGTGGACAATTAATGTCTTGAAATGTTAATTATTATTAATTGTGAATGGTTGTGAAAGAATTACACTTTCTCTCCCACCCCTCCCCTCTCCCCACCCATATCCCATAGAAATTTAATTTAATTTTGGTAACAGGTACCGGTAACCTAAAGCTCTATTATTATTTTCGAAAAGGGTATTTTCCCGGATGTTCACGGTGAGCCGGTCAGCCGTTTAATATGACGCAATATAATCTCTGAATTCGTAACACTAACTTTTAAACACACAGCGGCTCAAAGGTTGATGCTATGCGCCGATTGATTCAGCAAACACACCGATTTGACCCGTGAATTACCGTTAAACACCTCAAATAGGTAAGAATAACTTCATTATAATATAAAATTGAAATTAATCAATCGATAGATAGATAGTAAGTAAACATTAGCACTCAAGCGCGCGTTATAAGACCAAATTTGCTATACTTTTTTTTAGAAAATTCGATCTTATCGTCGGAACTCAGATTGGGGAAATGCTGTGGTTTAATCACATGATGTCACATGTCAAAAAAAATAATAAACTCAGTGGTAAATAATTGTCCACTTTGTTGCTTGAAATGTTAGAATGCATTAAGCGTACATAATGGCGGATCAAGCCCACAGTAGGCCTACCCTTCTTCAGCAAGCAGATAATAAATTTTACACAAGTTAGTGCTGTTGTCATTTCTTATAATATTTTTCTACAGCAAACTAACGCGGCTACAATATTCATCACATAAGAAGAGCTTGTACTCAAAGTTAGTGTCATGTCAAATAGAACAGTCTTTAAACTAATATAATTTTCAGTGTTATAGGACGTGATACTTAACAGAATTATGAGTCTCCAGGAAAAATCCCCTCTCATAAATGAAGGAACCACTGCAATAAAGGTAGGCAAAAATGACAATTTTGTACTCATGTTATAACAATAGAGTTGACATATTTCGAACATATTTTGTTATAGGCCTTTTTAAAAACTACAAATAAATTGGAGCCGAGTTATAATACGATATTTAATTCATTTTGTCTTAGGGTTTGACCATTGTGACTGCGGGGGTATTCATTGTGGGTGAGATGGCGGGTAGTGGTGTACTAGCTCTGCCGAAGGCTGTGGCAGACACGGGTAAGAAGCGAGGGGGTGGGGGAGTGGTTGCCCATGTCTGAGATGAAATAAGCTTATGCTTATGTATAACGCCAATGATGCGAACTATAGACCTAGGCCTACGGCGATTTGGCACCTGGGCTGTAATTGTTACTTTCCAACAGTAGGCATATAAAGAAAGAATAAATAAGTTATAAATAAATGCAAACCTTCAAATAAAATGTTATATTTAGGCCTATAAAAATAATTTTCCAGTAGGCCTACATAAAATATAATTTAATTTTATATCGTGGTCCGGAGGTCAAATTTTATGTAAATTACAAAATTAAAATAGAAATATAGAAGCAGCAATAAAAAAAAATGGACAAAAAAAAAAAAATAATTACGAGAATGTGAACCATACACGTACTTACCAGTAAATTAAATGTTGTTATCGTTACATAGGTTGGATTGGCATAGTCCTGATCATCGTGTGCGCAATGGCATCATGTTATACTGCTATCATCCTTGGTCGATGTTGGATGATCATACAGAACAGATTTCCCCGCTACAAGGAACATGTTCGTTACCCCTATCCAGCTATTGGTTATGAAGCATTTGGCAATTCAGGAAAGTAAGAAAATTTATTTCTCATATAAAAAATATTAATAATAATAAAGATTTATAAAGCGCACATCTCCACCAATGGTGCTCAAGGCGCAGTGTCAATTACACCACAAAATTAAACAAAAATCCATATTAATTCCCAGAAGAATTTCAAGCAAAATCCGTATACCAATTATCCCATCGAGGCAGTGTTGCTCCCCATATAAGTATGCGCAGATACTCAAAGGCAGTATGTTGAGCATCAGCACCTTCCTAGATGTGTATAAGAGACAGCATAAGAAGAGCTTGTACTCAAAGTTA